GTGAATTGCAATGATTTCAGTGAATTACAATGAATTACAGTAGATTGTGCTACTATATCCAAAATAGTGTTTGTGAAATTGGTGTGAATTTATACATTTCAGAACTAATGCATGTGCTTCAGATGAAAAGATGACGTTTATTAAAAGACTGTTAATAAAGAAGCAGCTAATAAAGCTTCTGATGTATATCTGATTACAGAAACTGCATTGGACAGAACTTCGCCATGAACGAGATGAAAAGTAGCAGTGGCGCTGACCTTGAAGAAATATCGCCTCATTAAAGACCCCAAACACACCCCGAAGATGATCCCTCAAGTCGTGCTCAGATCCCTCAATGGCATTCACATCAAGATCAAATCAGTGGAAAATGATTCATGAAAAGATGTGTGTACATTGAGCCTGTTTGACGTGTTGAGAAGAACGACAATGATCTAAAGGAGTAGTTCACTTTAAAAAAAACTTTTGTTGATTATTTTTCTCACCCCATGTCATCCAAGATGTCCATGTCTTTCTTTCTTCAGTCGAAAAGAAATTAAGGTTTTTGATGAAAACATTCCAGGATTTTCTCCATATAATGGACTTCAATGGGAACCAAACGGTTCAAGGTCCAAAAGACAGTTTCAGTGCAAACTGTTCAAAGGGCTTTAAACGACACCAGACGATGAATAAGGGTCTTATCATTTCAAAAATAAATAAAAAATTTTAAGTTTTATGAGGTCAAATGGTCGCCTTGCTCAGTTATGTGATGAGCGTTCGTGACTCTCCTGTTCGAACTCGTTCATCAAAATGATCAAATCTTTTTTCGAGTCATTTCGTTCGTTGAATCGTTTTTGACTGAAGAACGAACGACATGGACATCTTGGATGACATGGGGGTGAGTAAATTATCAGCAAAAGTTATCAGCACGTAATACGAATGTGCATGCCGTCACTGTTTTCAAAGATTCACGTTTTTGAAGTTTACATGGAGATGATAGCGGTATCGCTTTCAATAACGTGCACTTCGAAACTTGTTTACTTCGAAACTGTCGTGTAAATGAACACCTGTACGCTTTAAAGGTTTTCAGTTAAAACAGTGTCGTGTAAGCGCTCCCCAAGTTAATAACTAACGATTTTTACAACGGAAATTAATCCATTAAAAACCTTGAGCCAGACAATGACTTTCTTCTAGATCTGCTGTACATCCAAAATGACCTTTGTTGGATTATTATCACAGTAAAGCCGCTTTGAAACAATCTGTGTAGAAAGCTCTATATAAATAAAAGTGACTTGACTTACTCCGCAGTTTTGTCTCTATGGCCCCGTTCACACTGCAGACAAAAGTGGCCCAAATCCGATTTTTGGGGGGGGTCAAGTAACCAGGTCAGACTGATCTGAAAAATTCTGATTTTTTTAATTCAGATTTAGACCACATACATATGTAGTCCTGAATCAGAATCAGATCTGATTTTTTCCAATGCGTCCGCAGTGTGAACAACCAAGGCGGATTTAATGCGACTCTGACGTCGATCAACATTGACATTTGACACAATCATGTGCCGGCGAGTAAGCACTAGACACAACAGACACAGACCACTCCCGGCTTCGTCTACGCATCCACACAGACCTCTGTATTGAATTTGCAGCCATTAACACGAAAAAGGCCAAAATAGCCAATTCTGCTTTCTTTCTCTTCGTTCTCCTCCTCCTCAGCACCTGCTCATTAATTTTACGGCTTCCATTACGCAGACATTCAGAAATAAAAGCGTAAATGCTTACTTCCTCCATAACCACACCAACATTAGTGCAACAGTGTACTGCGTATGATGTCATCGTTATTGTTCTTTTGCGCATACGGGTTAGTTTGAAACATATTGGAATCAGATATAGGCCACATTTTAAAAGGTAATGTGAACAGCCAAACCAAAAACAATCAGAATTGAGCATTAAGACTTGCGGTGTGAACGGGGCCTTTGATCGCACTTAACTAGCCCAGTTCATTCAATATGGGCCAAGCAGAGCAGCGACCAAGCAAGTAAGAAAGTAGCCACACTTTAAGTATCACCTCCACTTAAAAAAGATGCAATCTCATCCTATTTACATTAAATAAGCCTGCTTCTGATCAGATTTGGGTTTACAGACCTGTTGCTATGACAGCTTACTGTGTCATGCCTGAAAACAAAAATTAAAGATACCTTTTAGGGTATTTGTCTATAGAGCAGGAAAACTAATTCTTGTGGCCACAGATTAATTCAGTGCGGGCTGAGCCTGAAAGACAAGCTATTTCACACAGTTGTATATTGTTCTTGTTATTTTTGAACACCATTATTATAACACAGGAATGTTGAGTGCTTGATTCTGATTGGCCATTTTAAGATCTGTCAACCGCAATACAGTTCCCTATCATTTCGCCAAATTATTTCAGTTATGGTAAAAGTCCTTACAGCCTACAACAGCACATGGACCAAAACCCAGAAAGACATGCGACCAAGAAAACAATTATGACAAACAATATGATAAAAAAATAACAATTTGCATGTTCTTCCAATGAAATTACATTTCATCACATGTGAGAAGCGGTCACACTCTCTTGAAACGCACACAACCGTAAAAGCTACATGACATTGACATTTCTCAGCAGAAAAATGATAATGCAGTTAAACTTACAGCTTCGATGTAGGCAGAGAGGCAGCTGTTGAGCGGAAGTGTGTCGGGCAGCCTTGATGCGATGATGTAGTTGTGTTTTCCAGTTGAGTCCACTTGATGCGGCGCTGCAACGTTTTCAATGTTGCGGGTTAAAGGAGTAGTTCACTTTTAAAAAAGCTTTTGCTGATAATTTACTCACCCTCATATCATCCAAGATGTCCACGTCTTTCTTTCTTCAGTCGAAAAGAAATTAAGGTTTTTGATGAAAATATTCCAGGATTTTCTCCATATAATGGACTTCAATGGGAACCAAACGGTTCAAGGTCCAAATGAGAGTTTCAGTGCAGCTTCAAAGGGCTTTAAACGATTCCAGATGACGAATAAGGGTCTTATCTAGGACGAGTCATGACTCGAAAAAAGATTGAGATTTTAAAAATGTGAAAAAAAAATGTGTTTTGTCCTCATGAATACACTTTCCATGCATCTTTAAACTTCATGCAATTGCAATACCATTGTATTATTTTGAATATGTTAACTGAGATTGTTCTTAACATTTATTGATTTGCGAGGAGAAATAAAATCGTTTCTCGTAAAAAATATTTGCTTGGTCGAATGTGCAAGTTGAGAGAAAATGTCAAATTAATTTTAATGAACATACATTTTAGTACAGATAACTTGAAAATGTAAGTTATCATCTTTCAACTAAACTTTGCAAGTTTTTTACTTAAAAATAATAAGTTGTTGGGTCAACTATTTTCACTATGTTAACTTGTTGAGTAAATAAAACTTAACTGAGTCAAAGCAAAAAGATAACTAAAAAATGCAGGTTGAGAGAACTTTTTTTTTACAGTGGTGATTAAAGCTGAATTTTCAGCATCATTACTTAGTCAACAGTCACATGATCCTTCAGAAATCCTTCTAATATGCTGATTTGATGCTCAAGACGTATTTATTAACATTACTCTAAAAATGCTGGGTTAAAAACCACCATTTGGCCATATTTTCCACTGAAACGTCATCTGGTGTGTCTGGTGCGGTTGAAATAAATATAAATAAATTTGGCTTTCTAATAATCCTCGATGTTTCATTAGTGGAGAGCAGAAGTATAAAGCAGAAGTGGAACAATCACTGATGCATCACAAAAACGTCGTAAAGCCCCACTCATTCTGTCTACATAGAAATATAACACACACAGCTTTCAGATCAAGTCAGTGTAACTTATTTTAACTTTAATTTCCAAATTCCTGGTGAAAAACGCTTCCAGAATTGTGTAATAATTATGCTTTAAATGCAATGTTTGTTTGTGTTCTTCAGCACCCGTCATGCCTCTACCTGGACTAATGGATTGCTAGGTATTCTGATAGTATGCTTCCCAGAATGCATCTCTATTAGCAAAAATACAACCACCACCATAAAAGAAGAGTCTGAAATTGGTAATTACAAAGTTTAAATATATAAAAAATACACAAGGTTTTATTGTGAGTGATATGTACAAACAAATGTACCAAACAGAACATAAGAGTATAAAACATCTTTTTTTTTTTTTCTTATTCAACGGTGAAGACAGTCTGGAGGGAAACGGGAGGGATGAACAACATTACCATCATCTAAACACTTCACTCGTCTCGTATTTTAAAGGAGTGGTTCACTTTTAAAAAATAACTTTTGCTGATAATTTACTCGACCCGATGTCATCCAAGATGTCCATGTCTTTCGTTTTTCAGTCGAAAAGAAATTAAGGTTTTTGATGAAAACATTCCAGGATTTTCTCCATATAATGGACTTTAATGGGAACCAAACGGTTCAAGGTCCAAAAGACAGTTTCAGTGCAAACTGTTCAAACAGTGCAAAGGGCTTTAAACGATTCCATACGATGAATAAGAGTCTTAATCAAGTGAAACGATCGCTCATTTAATAAATAGATAACAAAGTTAAAGTTTTAGAAGCTCAAATGCTCGCCTTGCTCTGTTCTGTGATGCACGTTCGTGACTCTCCTGTTCGAACTGATTCATCAAAATGAACGAATCTTTTTTTGTGTCACTTGGTTCATTCAACGAACAAAATGAACGAATTGACTCGGGAAAAGATTTGTTCATTTTGAAGAACGAGTTCGAACAGGAGAGTCACGAACGCGCATCACAGAACACAGCAAGGCGACCATTTGTGCTTATAAAACGTAAACTTTTGTATTTATTTTTGAAATGAGCGTTTTGCTTGATAAGACCCTTATTAATCGTCTGGAATCGTTTAAAGCCATGTGAAGCTGCACTGAAACTCTCTTTTGGACCCCACTGAAGTCCATTATATGGAGATAAATGCAGGAATGTTTTCATCAAAAACTTTAATTTCTTTTCGACTGAAGAAAGAAAGACATGGACATCTTGGATGACATGGGGTGAGTAAATTATCAGCAAAAGTTATTTTAAAAGTGAACTACTCCTTTAAAGGGAATAATACAGCTGAGGAAGGTCAAGGAATCTTGACAAGAGGAAAAGTGTTACAGTAATGCCGATTTTCACCAGTTTTAAAGCGTAGTCCATGTTTGTGGAAGATCAATCTCATCTGAATTAATGATGCTAATGGAAGTGTTTCGGCCAAACGGCCAACGGTTCCAAAACGAGTACATAAAAAAGCCTGTGCTTGTAAACATTTTACATAAATAGTAATATAAAAAAAGAGAGTAGACTATAAAAGATAAACCCCCGTGAGTCTCAAGCTAATTATATCACATTTTGCTATTTGGGTCAAGTGATGTACTTTTGTTTCCTTATATTGGCTTTTTAAGTTCAACCAAAAATGCAAACTGTCATTTACTCGCCCACATGTCACTACGAACCCTGTTGTTGTTGTTGTTGTTTGTCTGTGAAGCACAAAAGTCCTAAATCACAATATCCAAACAGCCGTTTTATGATTTATAAGGCCAAGATTAGATTATCTACTGTGAGGGACAGAGTGAAATGCACCTATTTTGAAATCGAAGTGAATTGAGCAAATGAAGACCTTTTGCCATCAGGTACAGAATACGATACCAATCCGGAATGACGTGCAAGTCAAATGTTCATTTTTTGGGAAAATCATTCCTTGAAAACTGTCCATATGAACGTCTCGCATTGTAGTCCGGTAGAAGACACAGTTCATGAGGACAGAAGAGGCATACCTAAATAAGCAGAGACGGGGTGGGCTTCTTGCCAGGCCAGGCTTCTTTAGCGTACTTCTTCTTGCGGGGTTCGTTGAGCAGCTCGGATACGTACGGGCCGGTTATAGGCGTGGGGTTGGGGTTGAGCTTGAGCGGGGGTGGCGGGGCCTCGTGGGCCAGGTCTACGTCCGGGGCAGGGTTCGGCAGGGGTAACGGCAGTCCTCCCAGGATGGCGGCTCCGCTGGGAGCTCCTGTGGATGGAGCTTCGTGACTGGCAGGAGGGAGGTCTCTGTAGAGTCCACCTTGCAAGGGGAACGCGTGCATGTGTCGCGTTACGCTTTCCTCCACTCCCAGCGCGTTACTTCCGCCCGTTTTCTTCCTCTGTTGAGTAAACCAACATAGACGTTCATGTAAATCACACTCCCTTTTCGCATTTGGCTGACGTCGAGATATGAATACGTTACCTTAATAGGAACGACAGCTGTTGAGACCATGTTTCTGAAACGCCCAACAGAGGGGTCGATGTCCTCTAAAAGAGTGAACACAAACACGGTTAAAAAAAGGGTGATACTATAACCCAAGACAAACAAACCAATATTCGAGTCATTTTTGTGATGACTTTCCGGTCCAGGAAAAAAACAAAAAAACAAAAACAGGGGCACTTCGGAAAACCGCAGGTCTTGAGTTCAGTTTTATCACATTTAAAATCCATAAGTAGTATGAGAAAAGACATACTTTAAGAGATCTTAAATTTGTGGATGGATTGAAAGTAGTCGCAACACGGATGAAGGCATTTACTCAATCTCAACAGGAGATGATTTCATTTAAAGGGCACCTATTATGGAAAATACACTTTTACATGGTGTTTGAACATAAATGTGTGTTGGCAGTGTGTGAGCAAAACCACCCTAGGATGATAAAAATCCACCCAGTGGTTTTTTTACAATCTCAATAAATCATGTGCACTGTGTCAGAATGAGCTGTTCTAAGATTCAGAGCTTTGTGACGTAGAATTGAGTGAGGGGTTTGATTGACAGTGTGGTTGTGGCCTAGACTCCGCCCTCGGTGATCTGTAGTGTACATACCATCCTCCATTGTTTCAACGACAGCCGGTAATGTCTCCTAGAATCATAAGTGTTCTGTCGTGGGATGGGATGTAATAATGACATAGTAGTTTTCACTTATTTCTGACATCAGAGCCACTGAAAACACAGTGGATGTATTGTATTTTGGAAGTTTTAGTGGCGCCTTTCCTTTGTAAATAAGTTTATGATTGAGCAAATCATTTTCTGACTGACTGTTTTGTGAACGAGGGTCAATTCAAAGTAGTTCTTGGTTCAAAGTTAATCCTCAAGTGTGGATCGTCGTCTACTGTTTGCGATCCACCGTCACCTCCAGTAACAGTAAGTGTGTTTTATGATTTTTGAGCAAATAGTCTTTTCAGTCGATGTCAGCCAGTTCAACAATAAATGCGTTAAAGTTGTTGTAATCGTAGGATGTCTGTGTATATAATTTAAACCTTGTTTGTATAGTGTGTAACCACACGTTTATAAATATATAACGTTATATTTTTAAAGATATTGTATTAAAAACTGCATATATGTTGTTGTTCTGTAAGTTAGCCATCTTCTCACGTTTGCCACTGAAGCACCTGTATGACAAGTAAACATGACGCAACAGGTCACTCGCATGTAATTTCGCTTGTACGTGGCAAACTTTCACAGTATGTGTTTGTAGTTTCAAAAAAATTGCGCCAACGGTAGTGTTTTGTGAGTGTTGGACATCCATAATTGCAAAGGGGACGCAATTACAATGCTATAAGTACATAAATGTATCAGATAACCATACCGAGACGTACTGGTCCATTCTCATTTGTGTTTATTCTGCCGGAGTCTCTTCGTCATTTGGGTCTGATCAGAGACTATTTATATATTCCAATTCAAACATATACGGCTGAATGACATTCAAAACAGCAGGTCTCTCACTCTCTCAGCCCTTCTGCTTACCGACTGCCATAGGTATCAAGTTACGCCCTCATCCAAAGGCAGGGCGGAGATATGCAGCTCATTTGCATTTAAGGTGGTATACACCCAAAACAGCTAATTTTTAACCAGGCCCCAAAAATGACATTTTCAAATGGTTATAATAAATTAACTATGGGGTATTTTGAGCTGAAACTTCACAAATACATTCTGGGGACACCCGAGACCAATATTACATCTTGTAAAAGCGGGCATAATAGGTGCCCTTCAATAAATATGAGCGCTGCACACGGCACTGTAGAGCGTTCAACTGTTTGCAGTTCACAATAAATGAATACCATGCATTTAAGCGAAGTGATAGCTTATTGCTGTTGATAAATTGTGTCAGCGTTTACGTCATGGTGTTTATGTAGTAATATGCAATAAATAGTTGATTGGATTGATTTAATTCCGACTAAACCAAAAGGTGTCCATGTAAACGTACCTAGTGGCTCAAACCTCTGTTACTAGATCTAAAATGACATTTTGAATATAGCAACGGAGGCTTGGGATTAGATGATTAAGGAATTAGTCCTACATACAAGAGCGTTTTAATGACCCAAAGTTGACAAACGTCTAGAAATACATCATCTGAACAATGTTTCGAGGTGTGGTAACATAAGAGCAATAACTGTTGAATTATTAGAAAAATACTACACACCCGAAGTGCAACCGCGCTTCGAGTCGTGACCACATTACCACCTCGGGTGTGCATTATTTTTCTAATAACATCCTTTCCTTAAGCATCAAGTCCTAAGTGGCTCAGTAGTGGATTGAGGCTCAGGTTCACTCTACCTGGGTTAATGACCTCATCCTCTTCGTTGAAGGTCACTCTGGAGCTCTTCCTCTTCCTCTTGGGCCTCTGAATATCCAGGTTTCCCTCTTCTATGGTGAGGGTGGAGATGCGCTTGTTATGAGCGGTGTTGAACTCGGTCAGGTTCTGCCAAAAGAGGCAAAATTCATAAAAAAAAAATTGATTTGCAGTTCATTCACAGCAACATCCATTCATTGCAAAAACAGCAAAATATGTGCGAATTTTCACTAGTATATTAAATACTCCTTTCCAATAAGAGACAGATCTGGACTGCAGGCAAGTGTCTAGAAAGCACTCAGTTTTAGCATGTGCAGAATGAGGGCGGGCATTGTCTTGCTTCCCAGGAAAGATGTCATCTTCCAAATATATACCACCATGTAAGTGGTACCCTCACACAAATGCAAGTCACCCATACCGCTTGCGCTGATGCCGCCCCAATACTAGGACAGATGTTTGCTTTACACATGTCGCTGAACTGAAGAAAACCCCTTTTGTCTTTGGGACTGAGAACTGACTCATCTGACCACAGCACACACTTCCACTGTCTTCTAGACCATCTGAGATGAGCTCGGGCCAGAGAACTCGCCGGCATCTCCGCACAGAACTGATGTACGGCTTTCTCCTTGCGCAACAGAGATTTACGAGGCATTTCTTGATGCCGTGTCAGACTCAGAGGTTTCCTGCCTTGCCCCACACACACTGGACTCACTGAATCTTTTCACTATATTATGTGAGCCGCTGACCCGCTTGTCATGAAACAGCTTCACAAACACTCTTTTCAACCTCATAATATCATTATTTCTGTGATGGAATAGTTAAAATGATCGGATAAAAGTTTAAAGTTCAAATATGAACTACGATAGCGATCAAAATCAGCTTTTGATAGAAACTTGGTGCATAAAATAACACCTTTACCGATTACATTGTTTCGCCACCGAGTGGCGACAAGTGACTGTTAAGCAAAAGTATCTGTTATTGAATCATTTATTCAAGAGAATGTAGTATTGTATGATGCTTCTGAAATAAAACTCAGAAAACTCATTTGTTTTTGTATGTGATCATCACCATTTAGTCTGTAAAAGTGTATGATTTAACTAAATTTAAATCATACAAAAAATTGAAATATATTGCAATATCGAATCGCAATACTTGTTCTTAAAAAAAATAAAATAATTGCAATACATATCGTGTCGGCATCGAATCGGAAGATGGGTGTATCCTCCCAGCATATATACATGTGTGTGTGTGTGTATATGTGTATATACATGTCAGCCAAAATGATAGCATTTGCTTCTGCTGTAAAAATTTGAGGATTTTAGGGATGAATATTCCTTTTTTTGTCGGTCAAATACAGATGAAACACTGTCCTTGGATTTTGATCAGTGTGTATGTGTGCGTGTATATATATATATATATATATATATACTGTATACACACATATACAGCTATTGGTAGCGTCTTCTGAAAATAAAAAAAAAAACTACAGAATTCCCATTCTTGTGTTATTCAGTTATGAGTGTATCATATATAGAATAAGAGGAATAAACTACAACGTACCTCCAGTTCAGTTTCTTCCTCTGGAAGTCCCAGAAGTCCCTTCAGCTCCTCGTCGTCCCCAGTTTTACTTTCGCCGACGCCAGAGCCCGGCTGACTCTGAGGTTTCTCCCGAATGGTGTAGACGCGCGTGGATGCGCCAAACGACATCGTTGAGTCAATGGGAACCTGCTGGGGCTTGTGGGGCTCCAGGCGAATGTGTCCCAGGAACGTACCATGTGCTAAATGACATCAACATACATGCTTGTTTAGAAATGTAGCCTGAGAAATGTTTGTCATTGGTCTAGAGATGCACTTACTGCTGTTGAGGTCGATGAGAAACACCCGTTTTAAATGGCGGTGGTAGACGAGGGCCGCGTGCACGCGAGAGCACGACTGATGGTCGATGGTGAAGTCACAGACGTCTGGGTTCCTCCCGAACAAATAATACTTCTTCTCATCAATGATCAGTTTCTGCAGAGAGAGCGCTTCAGTCGCCTGTTCACAAACTTATTTTTTGAGCTCAAAACTACAAACAATCAGACACAATTGGGCAGAATGACCGTATTTAAATTAGGACTGTAGAAATGCCATACCATACCATACAATAACCATCTCTTTTGGATTGTGTCTAAGTCCAAGAAAAGTAAAATAACTGATAAATAATGGAAATAAGCCTTGTGAAAATGCATTTATTTTATTGATTTGCAACAGAAATGGTGCAGAATCTGAAATATTTCATAATGTTGCTTTGTTTCTCAAAATCCTGCAACTTAAAATTTGATTTTGAATACCAGAAATTAAGGCAAGACCATTGTTTCGGTCAAGCAATTTAGGGTTAAATTTACCAACAACATCATCATATTTCAGACCAGTTAAAAAACCATCCAAGTGTTTATTTTATTATACTTTATATTTGTAGATTTAAATGATAATACACATCTTTAAAGATGGTTCTCTCAAAATGACTTTTTGTCTCCTGCACCGACAAATAAATCTGCACTTCACCAACACATTTTAGTTTTGTTCCTATAAAACTAGAGTTTTTCCATCCAGTTGACCGTATTTTCATATGTATGGCATGATAAAGAGAGATATCCAAAATCCCCTCTGTAAAAAATAGGGCTGTCAAACGATAAATCGTGATTAATCGCATCCAAAATAAAAGTTTGTGTTTACATAATATATGTGGGTGCACTGTGTATAATTATTTTGTATATATATATATATATATATATATCATAAACACGAACTTTTATTTTGGATGCGATTAATCACGATTAATCGCTTCCAAAATAAAAGTTTGTGTTTACATAATATATGTGGGTGCACTGTGTATAATTATTTTGTGTATATATCATAAACATAAACTTTTATTTTGGATGCGATTAATCACAATTAATCGCTTCCAAAATAAAAGTTTGTGTTTACGTAATATATGTGGGTGCACTGTGTATAATTATTTTGTATATATATACTGTATATATATATATATACTGTATATATATATATACACAAACATGTATATTTAAGAAAAATATTTTGTATTTATATATAAAATATTTATATTTATATAAATTAAATATAAATTATATATAAATCTACTGTATATACAGTATATACATGAAAATATTTCTTAAATATATACAAGCATGTGTGTGTATTTATATATATATATATATATATATATATATATATATATATAAAATAATTATACACAGTGCACCCACATATATTATGTAAACACAAACTTTTATTTTGGATGCGATTAATCATTTGACAGGCCTAGTAAAATCCTTTAATATGTCACCAAAATTGAATGAATTTTTCAACCTGGCTTTGTGTCCTGATTTCAGTGCTGTAAATGTAGGTAAAGATGCCACCTCATATTTCAGGAAACTTGTACAAAATGTAAGTCTTAATGTACTGTGATTAATCAACTGGGGAAGTATGGTGATTTCTTTTGGTTAACAATGTTACCATATTCACCTGTGGCACTGTATATAAACCACTATCCTGCTGCAATATATTCAGTGTCCAGATATAAAATGACTCATAGCATCACAGTATTTTGTCAAACGACCCAGTACACATAGCATGTCACCATGATGTGCCCTGGAGTTATAACACCTGAGGAGTGACTCCTCTCTCAGAGCTTAAATCTCAGGGTCTTGTTTCTCTAGCACCGCTTTTGGACCTGAAGGCCACCATAATGCACGCATCAGTGTGGGAAAAATAAAACTCAACTGAGCTGCAGGCGGTCAGGTCAGTATCTGGTGCATCGCTGTGGCATGTTGGACAAACGGTCATTTCATTTTTTTTTTTTTTTTTTTATAAAAAAAGATTGGTTTACCCAGCTAGATAAATACAACCCTATGCTATTCTGTTATGGTTATATACATGTAATATGGCCCATTAGCCATTTATATATAGCCTATACACAGTAGTCTTAGGCACATTAATATTTCCACGCTCCCAAAAATAGTTTTAAGCCAGTTATTTTTTATCATTTGCTGTAGTGTGTCAGTAAAATATCACTTTACAGAAAAAAAAAAAAACGGAGACAGACTAAATCCAGATGAACTGCCGCAATGTTTCAAAGACGTTTAAATAAATCGACCTGCAAAGCTAACTTACAGTACTGTGGAAAGATTTATCAAAAACACTGTAAAGAAAGGATGCCTCTAAAATAATGGAATAAATCGATTTTTTAAATCATTGAAAATAGCTTTTGTCCAGGTAGACTTAGCTTTTCAGGAAGATTTGCAGTAAAGTTTCTTCAAGCGTCTCAGTTCTTCAAAGATCTCACTGGGTTATTACAATTAATAGCAAAAGGAATATTTGGAAATGTAAACTGATATTTCCTACTGACATACTACAGAAAATAACTGGCTTAAAACCATTTTAACATGACTAAGACTTTTGAACAGTACTGTATATGAAGAGTTCAGATGCAAAAGCCTCTAAATGCCATTTGAAATTTTCTTCTTTAATGATGATTTTTATCAAACTTGTATATTTAAGTTCAGTGATTTCACTTAAATGCCAATGATAATTGCCTATTAATGGTTATTTAAGTGAAATTAATGAAATAAAATATACAAGTTTGATAAAAATCATCATTAAAGTAGAAAATTTCAAATGGCATTTAGAGGCTTTTGCATCTGAACTCTTCATATATAGCTAATATTGGTCCTTTTTGGAGGTGTGGTCCCTTTACACTCTGCATGGAAAAGACTTGCATCAAGAATCTTGAAAACTTAAATTTTGTGAAAATGATTTTCACTTTTGTCTTCCATGTAACAGCATACAGGTTTGGAACCACACAAGGTGGAGTACTCAGAACAATTTACAAAATATGTGATGGTTAAGTTCTCATTACCAAGTCTACTTAAGTTATTAACCAATATTTTTTAAAAATCATTGCAATACCTCAACAAGTTTGTCTCCTTTCACCACGTCCAAATGCAGCCCTGCTGGAGGCTTCCCTGCCCTGGAAGGAGAAACTCATGAACTCATCCCACAAATCATCCACTGTGCAGATTATGATCAGAAATAAAGCATTTAGCTTCTGGGATGTTCCATAGTTTGATCAATGAACATGAATATACTCTTTTACACAAATAATGTTCTTTGTAAAACAAGTTTCAGTTCCATTAGTGTGACGGTGTGTCTGCTAAAGAGCAAGAGAGCTAACAGTTCGGTGTAAGATTATTGTTCTAATGCTGGGTAAGAATACACCTTTTTCATGCACTAAACCTAGCATAGACTGCAGTGTTTTTGTTTGTTTTTATTTATTACCATGACGGACAGTCGAAATTTGGATTCATCTCTGTAGTATTTGTTGCCATTGTCACACATTCTTCAATGCTATCGACACGCCGAGCATCCTGGGTAAGCTGCTAAAACGGAACGTCTTCCGGCTCATGAATATTAACGACGTAACGCGTATTTCTCTCAGTAGCCGTAACTGATTGGCTCAAAAGCATACGTGACTAAGTGCGCGAACGCCTCTGTGGTGAAAGACTGTGAACCATAGAAATACAAACATAGAATCCTCATTAAGCGCCATAATCGTAAGCCGTCCGCCATATTGCAGCGGTCAAAACACCGGTGTGGTGAAGAGATGAGTCCCAGTGAACTAGTGACGAGTCTCAGCCGTTGAAGAGAAATTGAGTCTACAGCCATACTAGTTAAACAAATCAATATCTGTAATAAACTTCAGCAGATGAATATAGAAAAATAACACAAATCAACAAGACGAAGAAGTCAGCTAACACAACATTACTAAGTTACCACAGTATGAAAAATTGTAACATTGACTTAAAGGGTTAGTTCACCCAAAAATGAAAATTCTGTCAGTATTTACTCGCCCTCATGTTGTTCCAAACCTCTATGTGTTTATTTGGAACAACATGAGGGCGAGTAAATACTGACAGAATTTTCATTTTTAGGTGAACTAACCCTTTAATACGTACAAAAACACAAATCAATGTAAAATGTTATCCCATTTCTTTGGAAAATCCAGAATTTTCAACCAGAAACTGTGCAGTGTTGTGGAATTTTTTTGATTCGCATGCTGACCATTGCAAGATGGCAGACACACTGACGTGTCTGGAGTGGTCGATTTTGAATCTATGTATAGGCTACAGCTATATAGTGTGGGAAAACCCTTTTAGGGAGGTTAACCAATCAATAGCAGCATTGCTTAATTAATATTCATGAGCTAAGCCTTTGCCATAAAAGGATTTGTCCGGGAGATAGTTGCCAGTTGTATAGACAATAGAGAGTTGTGGTCACACAAGTGAAACTGCTTAAACATTATGCAGTTATATGTTGAAACAAAATATTGAAGTACAATACATACACTAAATTAAATATTTAAATAAAACATTAACTAAACATATTCAAATAAAAGTCTGTGCGCAGTTCACTATGGTGTTTGTGGTTTCTGGGTGAGTCACTTTTGAGACTTCCTCTCTTGTCTATAATGTGTGAAAATAGCAGATCAGCGCAGTGTGTGTGTGACTGTCCGCCGTGAAAGATGGGAGACCTCCAGTCCTTACGAGTCTTCATCAACTGTCTGGATCAGCAGTCTCTGCCCCGCGTCCTACAGGTCTGCTCTGGGGTTTATTTCCAGGGTATGTGTCATGCTTTTATCCTCTCAGCATATTCTGGATGACAATTTTTCAAAGGGGAAAAAACAAACAACTAAAATCCTACAGTCCATGTCCAGAAATGTATTTTGCATTGTAATTGTTCATTAAAATATGAATTAGTTAAACAGAAGTGATTTGACATTTTTATGTGTGAACATAATACATTTATGTTCACACTCACAGTATGTTTAGCTTTCGACCACAAACAGGACATGCACTTTTTTTCCCCCTCATCAACGTGGTTTATGCCGTGCGCCTTCACTAGTGAATATATGACCGGATCTGGTTTAGTATTGTCTGCATCAAAAAAACAATAGCCTACAACGATTGTTTATATAAAGGGGAACTCAAATCAAAAGTGAAAAAAACGAAGATTGCTCATGACTGCATAAATCATGCATTAAATCAGTGGTTGTCAGATTTTAGGTCAAATGGTGAAACCAAAGTTAGTAATTCAAAAATAAAAAGATCCTTAAATTCCCCAAACCGAAATGTATTAAAACTAAAATCTTGGTTTTGAGAATGAGGGCACGTCTCACGACCTGTCCAGCTTGGCATCTTCTAAAGTGACAGATATATTTGCACTAAAATATTGAGATTGATTAGACGCCTTTGACATCAACAACAAGAAATGAGTGTTTTCTTTTCACTTTTAAACGATGATCAGCTGTTTATTTCACTAAACTACACTGAATCGTTTGATTTGAATAGTTTGTTTTCACCTGCTGCAACAGATTTGGGGGTTATAAAAGCTGAAATGCACTGTTTTAAATAACCACAATGCATATTTGAGTGAAGTACACTATTAAAAATGAAATAGGCCTTCAAAAATAAAATTTAATCAATACCACATAAGGAATTTACTTTCAATGTATTAAAAATGTTCTGACTCCATATGTTTGACTTTGTTTTAATGGGATCAAATGTTGTCAGACTTTTAAAATGAACGCAGATATGCAAATAGGACATGATGATGTGTTATTTTCAGGGTCCGTATATGAGCTTTCGGGAAGTGAAGTGTGTTTATCTACTGGAGATTTGGTGAAGATCATTGGTTTACAGCTCCTGTCTGTATCGTGTGAGGAGATTGACACTGGAGCTACATATGAATTGCCTACTGACTACTCAGGTTAGTCTCTAAACAACAGCCATACAACCAAACTAGAGTTGATTTAAATAACTATCTGTATTATTCAGCATATGGTTACATTAGCATATGTGAATAACAACCCAAATGATTAGAGGTAAACTGGGACAGGATTCATCGTGACAGGGATAGCTGCAGGTTGGAGTAATGGGTAATGTGCCGAACAACACAAACTAAACCTATACTGGAAATTTCTCAAGCAATTGACCAATTGGCCATGGAGGGATAGTTCGCTTTTAGAAAAAACTTTTGCTGATAATTTACTCACCCCCATGTCATTCAAGATGTCCATGTCTTTCTTTACTCAGTCGAAAAAGAAATTAAGGTTTTTGAGGAAAACATTCCAGGATTTTCTCCATATAATGGACTTCAATGGGAACCAAATGGTTCAAGGTCCAAATGAGTTTCAGTGCAAACTGTTCAAAGGGCTTTAAACGATTCCAGATGATGAATAAGGGTCTTATCAAGCGAAACGATCGCTCATTTCAAAAATAAATACAAAAGTTTAAGTTTTATAAGCTCAAATGCTCGCCTTGCTCTGTTCTGTGATGCGCGTTTGTGATTCTGAAATCGTTTTTCGAGTCATTTGGTTGATTGAACGAATGAAATTTCTTGAAAAAAAAAGATATATTCATTTTGATGAACGAGTTCAAACTGTCATTTGGACCTTGAACCGTTTGGTTCCCAGTGAAGTGCATTATATGGTGAAAAATCCTGGAATGTTTCCATCAAAAACCTTAATTTCTTTTCAACTGAAGAAAGAATGACGTGGACATCTTGGATGACATGGGGGTGAGTAAATTATCAGCAAAAGTTTTTTTTAAATGTGAACTACTCCTTTAATTTGGAAGCAAGGGTTTACTGATCACAATACAAACGGGAGAAACCTCATGTTACGGTCGTACTGTAGATGACAACATCCAGGATCAACACTGTTCATACCACAGCGTAAACCCCGTTTTTATCACAGAAAACGATTATTTCTAAAAACTCCGGCCAAAGTGGAGATTTCTGAAAACGCTGGTTATGTGTTGCCGTGTGAACTTGGAGAAACGGCGTTTTAGGTTCTCTCTCGTTGATTCTGAGGATTCTGATTGGCTTGCATGGCTTTATCCTTAACCCCTACACTGCCACCAATAGGTTTGGCATAGTTATGATGGCGCTCGACGGCGTATTTATGCGGGTGTGTGAACGATGTTATTTTTAAAAAACGGAGAGGGGGAAAATATTAATTTTGCTAAATACCCGGCTTTGTGTAAACGTGGCCTAAATTCATTTGAATTTACCCAGTTTCATATATAGAGGCACTGAATTGTAGACCAGTCTGTACATGACTTGAGAACAGTTAGCTATTTAGGTTTGTGCGTTAGCATGGCCTCACTAACTTTGATTGTAACTCAATGAAAGTATGACAACCAGAAAATGACCGTTTTTGTCTTCATTAATGGGGTTGAATTCATAGGGATCCAGGTTAATGCACCCACATCACTGGATTAATACACGTAGTCCAAAGTAGACATTTGGCTCGGTCTTGTTTGGGTTTAGGATACCTTGTTTGGGTTTACCCATCTCAGGCACATCGTTTTACCATTTTTGTAGCATAAACACCATCAAACCGGTGATATCTTTGCATTTTCCAATGTTTCCCAATGGCGCTGAAACCTAAAGATGTCCAAGTTCCCCATGCAACAGATAGTCAACTGCCATTGGCTCATATCCGCATTCGAGGGGAGGGGCTTACCAATAGGTCAATTGTAAGACCTTTCGGCACGCCAATTACTCCAACCTACAGATAGCCACACTTGTCTCTCTATGAACAAGTCATGATGCTAGTTCTTCAACTTAAGCTCAAGGTGGCTGTTGTCCTTTAGGCAATTCATTTCTAAACCAAAAGCTAGAGCTAAGTTGATTGATTTTCCCACCCTGAATCTCTCTAGGCCAGTTCAGACTCGTCGCTGAGGAACTCCCGTACAATGCAATCGAGGAAATTGTGGGTCTGTGTCCTGTTGGAGTGGACGCCTGCGGCTCCTTCATCTTCACAAGCAGAGAGGAGTTGACTATCGACAACTTCACAGTCCCCGCAGAAACAAAGTTGACCCTGGTTACAGTGGAGGCCGCTGACAATGGAGAAAGACTTGCACGGTGTCATGTGGTGGGGCAGAACAAGGCGTCTGCAGAGATACTCCTTCCTCTATCCCTCAAAGGAGAGTTTTATGAGTACGAAAGTGACCGTGGTTTCACTCTACAGGAAATCATGTCATCAGTCAGGCTGAGCTGTCGCCGCTTCCGCAGCACAAATATGAAGAACTGTGGAGCCCTGATGGTTTTCAGCCCGGTGTATGAAATTAGCGCCATTATGCATAGTAAGTACAACAGTGTTACTTTACCTTAGAAATCTTTGCCAAGTCCTTTTCCCTCTGACATGGTGCTGCTGGTCCCAAAGCCAGATTTGTAACTGTCCAAAACACAGTGCTGCAGTTTTGACATATTTTTGTAGGCCGGTGTAGTGACAAATGGCGTACCCATCATAAAATCATAAGACGGTTGAATAAACTGCTTAGAATAGTCTTAGAAATTAGCCACCTTATTTGTTTTCCCCTCAAG